ACGCGCTTCGCGCGTTCGATTTCGGCGCGCGCGCGCGCGCGATGGCGCGCGCGCTCGGGTGCGCTTTCGCCTGGGGACTCGCGTGGGTCCCGGCGCGCGCGTGCGCGTGCGCGGGGGGGGCGTACGGGGGGGCTCGCGAGCGTCTTCGCGTGCGTCCTGGGCGCGACGCGCGCGCGGGGGTCGACGCGCGCGCACGGGCTCTTGGATGCGTTCGTGGTGGGCATGGCGCTCGGGGTGTTCCCGGCGACGCTCACGGGGTCGACAGCGGGGACGGGGTGGGCGAAACGGGGGGTGGTGACGCGCGCGAAGGCGCGGACGGGCGGGTTGGACCGGGACGCGGGCGCGGCGGACGCGATATCGCTCGTCGACGTCACGGTGGAGGATTTTAGATTTGATTTGATGGGTGAGCTGCACGCGACGTTACCGATGGAGGATGAGACGTACTTTTACAAGGCTGGGGCGGAGGCGAGCGGGACGTTTTGCGCGGTGCCGGTGACGCACGCGAACTGGACGATTGCCCAACCCGTTCCGTTTTGGTACGTGTGCGACAACTTTTGGGCGGGTCATCGGAATTGTACCGACGCGTACGAGAAGAATTACGACGATGAATATGGATGGTACGGTCTGCGCGCGTTGCACACGTGTTTGCGCTTGCCCATCGACGCTCTGGAGCGCGGCGCGACAGAGCTACACTTTTTGCACTTGGATTTCCAACAATCCTTTGAGCCAAAGTATGAGATCAGTGAAAAGGCGCTCTTGCGAGCGAGCGTACAGCACGAGGTGTCCGTCGATATCAACGCCCCTCGAGTTTATTGGAACCCGATACAGGAGCCGTGCTGCGACGCGCTTGCGAGCCAGACCAACGCGGTGCTCACGGCGGTGACGATTCTGAGCCTCCTACCGCTGGTGTACCTCACCTTCCGCGACCTCCTCAGGCCGTTGAGAAGTGCGTCGATGCGCGACACCACTCGCGCGTTTTACACCAGGGCCGAACTTCTAAAAGCGGCGAACAAGGGTCCGGTGACAAAGGTTGGCCGTCGACGATGACGTCGCCTTGAACCGTACACTCGGGCTCTCGCCGATCGCGCGAGATGCTTTCCCACGCCAATGTTCTCACCGGTTGGATCGCCGTAGGCGCCGTGACGTTCCCGTTCCTCTTCACCGCGAACGCGCCGTACGGAAAGTTCTTGTCTAAATCGTGGGGACCGACCATGAACGGACGCGTCGGTTGGTTTCTTCAAGAAATCATTTCTCCGCCGATGCTTTGGGTCGGACTCACGCGCGGTGCGGACGTGTTTGACGATCTCGGGGGCGGTTCGATAGCGGACGAGAAGTACGTGAGAGTGTTGACGGTGATCTGGTGCGCGCACTACGCCAATAGGGCGATAGTTTACCCGGCGACGCGGACCATGGGGGAGACGGCTGTTGCCACGGTGGTGGCGGCGATAGCGTTCAACGTCTTCAACGGCCTGCTCGTCGGTGCCGAGCTCGCGCACGGGTGTAAGCGACCGAGTGACTTCGTGATATGCGTCGGTGCAGCGACGATGGCGATCGGAGCGTGGATCAACATCTCGTGCGACGCGCGTCTCCGAGCGCTTCGAGCCGGGCGACGGTCGAAACGAGAGTACGTCATGCCCACCGGCGGTCTCTTTGACCTCGTCGCGTGTCCACACTACCTAGGCGAGTGCATAGAGTGGTGTGGGTTCGCTGTGCTCGCGAACTTCTCCCCATCCACGCTTGCGTTCGCCTTCTGGACGTTCGCCAACCTCTTCCCGAGAGCCGTCGCGACCAGACGCTTCTACCGAGCGAGGTTCAAATCCTACCCCGCGCGCGTTCGCGCCATGATACCGATGCTCCTGTAACGCGCATTTCACTCATTTAGCTCATTTCACGCGCGAATGCACGCGCGGTGCGCCGCGTCGCTCGCCCGCGCCCGCGCCCGTCCCGGACGCCCGAGCGCACAGGTTTCAGGTTTTCGACACCCGACTTTCGCCACACACGCGCGCGCGTCCGGTTCGTTCGAATCGACATGCGCGCCCGCGCGCGCGCGCCCGCGCCCGCTCGAGCCCTCTGCGCGCGCGCCGCGTCCGCGCGTCACGCGAGCGCGTCGTCGCGCGCGAGAACGCGCGCGGCGGCGGGCCGAGCGTGCGATCGGGTATCCATTTCGCACCAGAGCGGTCGATGCGCGGTGACGCGCGCGACGCGTCGTCGCGAGGGCGACGCGGCGCTCGGTGCGCGCGCGGCGCACCGCGAACGCGCGCGCGCGTCGACGAAGACGCGGGCGAGCGCGAACGGGTCGGAGGCGAAGCCGCTGGACCACTGGCTGGAAAAGTTGCGGACGAAGGGCGAGACGGCGGCGCAGGTGTTGATGTTATTGATGCTGTTCGGATGCTGGTACGGGTTCAACATCGTGTTTAACATTTATAACAAACAGATTTTGAAGACGTTTCCGTACCCGGTGACGGTGACGCTGATCGAGCTCGGCGTCGGGAGCGCGCTCATCGCGGCGATGTGGGCGAGCGGAGCGAAAAAGCCGCCGCAGGTTTCGATGGCGATGCTGAAACCGATCGCGCCGTTGGCGGTGATTCACGCGGTTGGGAACTTACTCACGAACGTGTCGCTCGGAAAGGTGGCGGTTTCTTTCACGCACACCATCAAGGCGAGCGAGCCGTTCTTCTCGGTTTTGCTCTCCGCGCTCTTCTTGGGTGATGTCCCGTCGCTCGCCGTCATGGCGGCGCTCCTTCCGGTCGTCGGAGGGGTTGCGCTCGCGTCAATGACAGAGGTAAGCTTTTGCTGGGCCGGGTTCTTGGCCGCTCTTGGGTCGAACATCACGTTCCAATCGAGAAACGTTCTCAGCAAGAAGATGATGGGCATGTCCGTCATCAAGGGCGCCATCGACAACATCAACCTCTTCAGTGTGATCACCATGCTCAGCTGTTTGGTGGCGCTTCCGGTCGCCATCGGCGTCGAGGGCGTGCGTTTCACTCCAGCCGCAATCGCCGCCACGGGCGCAAACGTCGCTGAACTGTCCAAGTCTCTCTTGGTTGCCGGTTTCTGCTTCCAAATGTACCAGCAAATTTCATACATGATCCTCTCACGCGTCAGCCCGGTGACGCATTCCGTGGGTAACTGCATGAAGCGTGTCACCGTGATCGTTGTTACTCTCATCTATTTCAAAAACCCGGTGTCGCCGCTCAACATGGCAGGCACCGCCATGGCTCTCACCGGCGTTTTCTTGTACTCGCGCGCCAAGCGAGCCGAGGGTGATAAGAAGAAGCAGGCTAGCGCGGCGGCGGCCGGAATCAAGGCATCATCGGGAGATTCTGCGTATAACGATGTGTTCCGCCGAACCACCGGGTTGTCTAATATTGAATGAGCGCGTGTGAACGTTTGTAGTAGACAGAAAATTCTCAGCAAATTCATCTCGTCGTGTATTTTGTTTTTCAAACATATCTGCTAGGCTAAGGACAGAGACGACAATGCATCATCGCGACGTGTTATATACGTGTTGTTTGTGAGGCGGAAGCTTCTGAGTGGTGGAGTGTTTCGAGTTCGATCTTCTTTTGAGCCGCGTGACGTACGTGTCGAGCAGACTGTGTATCTTCTGCTTGCATGAATCTGAGAGGAAGGCTCGTGTCCCTTCCTCCGTGTTTTGATCGAATTCTTTCGGCACCGTCGTCGTTATCTTGTGCATACTCTCGCGAATGATGTGGCTATACTGCGGTTTGGTGAGATCGGAGACGGCAAGCGTGGACTCAATCAGTTGCATAACCGTCTTCGCCAACAGCGTTTCCGCGACGATTTTGGGTGGTCTCCCTCTCCCCCTCTTCACCGGACCTGGGACGTTCTCGAACCCAGCGGAAGGATCCCACGCGCTTTCGACATTTTCAGTCACCGGTTCTTGAGTTGACGAGGGCAAGGTAATATCCGATTGCGCCACTTGCGACGTCGGCATACGTGCGCTCACTGGTTTTCCAGGGAACGTTGATGTGGGATTCGCCGCGGGCAAAGCCTCCTGTTCCGGCTCGTTCATGGCGAGCGATCGACCGATATATACATTCGCCTTGACGGTTTCTATGGCACTCTTCACCGGCACACCCGGGAACGCGCTCGGCGCTTCTTCGACGTCGGTCGGCGTTTCGTCCGGCTGCGTCACCTCCTCGCCCTCTTCCACGTCCGTTATTGCGGCGTCTTCTGTCACAACGCCGTTCATGTCTGTCATTGCGCACGCATTTATCGTACCCTCCGCCCTTCCGACCACTCGTACGGTCGAGCTGGGAAATTTTTGCTCGTCGGTCGGTAACGTCACGTGCCTCGGAACCTCGGTTACCTGGGGCGAATCGTCCACGTCCGTATCGAGAACCTCCTCCCGCGCATCATCGAACGCGTCCTCCATTTCGATGCTATCGATATTATCGTAATCATCCTCTTCGTCGACGACGTTGTTCAATCCCACGATTTGGCTCGCCGGGAGCGCCACTAAATCATCCTCCAGAAGTTTCGGCGTCGGGTCGTATCTCGGCTTGGGCATGGGCTTCGATCGTTTCGCGCGTTTCTTCTTCACCCGCATCACCTCGTCGAATCCCCCGAGCGTTCCCATCGGACGACGCTTCGAGCTCGGAAACATCATCGTCAGATCCGCCTTTGCCTCCTCGGCGCCTTCGGACGATTTCGGCTCGACGTCCGCCGTTCGCGTCTCCGTCTCCACCGCCTCGACGGTCGTCCCCGGACGCGTCCCATGCGCGTCGGCCGCCGTCAACTCCGTCTGTTCGACGCGCGCGCGCGTCTCGACCACCTTCGCCGCGTCGACCGCGTCCATCCGCGCGTCTTCGTCCGCGCCGCGCGCGTCTCCATCCGCCTCCGCCTCCTCCTCCTCGACGAATCCCTTCACGAGCGCGTCGAAATCATCCGCGTCTCGCGCGCGCACCCGTGCGCACCGTTCGCCCGCCTCGACCGGTCCCGCCGCGGTCCCGCCGTCCCCCGTCGCGTCGCGTCCGTCGTCGTCGCGCGTCGCAGCCGTCGCCGCGTCGCCCGCCCGCGTCGCCGAGATCTCCCTCGCACCACCCGTCTTCGCCCGCGCCCGCGCCGCGTTCGCGTCCGATGGACGCCCCGAGAACGACGCGAGCGTCTTCACCCGCCCGCGGTCGTTCCCGAGCGCGGACGCGTCGTCGACGGACCGACATCCGTCGTCGGTCGCGACGCACCCATCGCTCGCCCCCCCGTCGCCGCCTCGCCCGCGCGCGCGCGCGTCCGGGGCGAGGCCCTCGCGCGTCATAAACGCCGCGATCGACGCCGCGATGCGCTCGCGCGCGCGCGCGCACGCGTCGCGCGCCATGCGCGCGGCGATGTGACTTCATTCCTCGTCGCGTCATGCGTTCGCTCCGCGCGCGCACCGCGCCCGCGCGCGCCGCGCCCGCGCGCGATGGACGACGAATCGTCTCTCTCGCGCGCGCGCGCGACGACGGGCGGCGACGGGGCGCGCGCGCGAGGGAGGAGGCGGATGAAGACGTGGGCACGGGCGATGACGTCGTGGAAACTCTACGAAAACGCGCGCTCGCGCTCGGTCTGTGCGCGCTCGCGGCGAACGTGAGCGCGACGTCGACGGCCGTCGCGAGTGTCGATCGCGGGTGGGGACCGGGGGTGGGGCGAGGAGACGCGGAGCGCGCGTTTGGGTGGGGAGATGATGAATCTGGCGCGGACCGCGACGGGGACGCCGAGGCGTCGGGGCGCGAGAAGACGTTTCGCGCGTTCGTGAGCCCTGAATTACGAGGCGATGGCGCGGGATGGGTGCCGGCGCCTCGACGGGCGCTCGCGCGGGACGGAGGGTATCGGACGATTCAGTCGTCGCAGCGATTGACGGAGGACGAGCGAGAGACGGTTAATCTGTTCAACAACGCCAAGCGGAGCGTGGTGTACATCACGAACGTCGCGGTGCGCAGAGACGCGTTCACGCTGGATCTCACGGAAGCGCCTCAAGGGGCGGGGAGTGGGGTGGTTTGGGACGACGCGGGACACATCGTGACGAATTTCCACGTCATTGACCGAGCGAATCAGTTGAAGGTTTCCTTCTTGCCGAAAAAGGGGGCGAGTCGGTTGCAAGGACAAAAGGTGTACGACGCCGCGATCGTGGGGTTCGATGAGGACAAAGATATCGCGGTGTTACAGGTGACGGATCCTGAGGCGTTGGAAGAGATGAAGCCGCTGAGCATCGGGAGAAGCGGCGAAGCTTTGGTCGGGCAACGCGTGTACGCCATCGGGAATCCCTTCGGGCTCGATCACACGCTGACGACGGGCATCATCAGCGGTCTCGGCCGAGAGATTCAGAGTGGGAATACCGGGCGTCCGATCGATGGGATCATTCAAACCGATGCCGCGATAAATCCTGGGAACAGTGGCGGTCCGCTGTTGAACTCTAGCGGACAACTCATCGGCATCAACACGGCTATTTACTCCGCCTCCGGGACGTCCAGCGGTGTCGGTTTTGCGCTTCCTAGCGACATGGTGAGTGGTATAGTCGATCAAATTATTCGTTTTGGACGCGTGACGCGTCCTATTCTGGGAGTCTCGTTCGCTCCGGATGGCGCGTTGGATCAACTTGGTCTCGGTGGTGTCCTGGTTCTCGACGCGCGTCCGGGTGGACCTGCGGACCGTGCGGGCGTGCACAGCACCACTCGCGATGATACTGGTCGACTTATTCTCGGAGACATCATTATTGAACTCGCCGGAGAACCGATCGAGGGCTCCAGCGACCTGTACCGCACGCTCGACAAGCTCAGAGTCGGAGACGTCGTCGAGCTGAAACTTCTGCGCGGCGCGGACAAAATCACGACGCAGATTGAGCTCGACGACATCAAAGACATGAAACCTCCGAGGGAGTCCACAGTGGTGATCCCAATGCGACCCCGTAACAACAGTATGCCTTTTTGAACGCCAGATCCGCGCTGTTCTACGTTCAGTTTCGGCATGAGCGACGGGGCATATTTGTGCTTTTGACGACTGGACAAAGGGATGTAATCTTCTAATGTGACAACTCTCTATCGCTCGTATCTAGGCATCGCTCCGCTCATAAAAACCTTACCAGTGATACCAAGCGTGCCGGCGACGAAGAATGCGACGTCTCGAAACAGGCTCACGGGTCCCGCACCCGTCTCCAGAGCTCCGATGAATCTACTGCTCTGCATGATGGCGGCAGTCGGCCCCTTCCTAATGCCCTCGTACGCCACCAACGCGTCTTTCACCGTGTCGTGTTCGGTGCCAACCTTTGCGAGCTCCTGGGCGATGCAGAGCGCGTCTTGCATCGCCTGATTCGCACCTTGGCCCAGAAACGGAGGCATGGCGTGGCACGAGTCGCCCACCAACGCAATGGTGCCGCTCTCGTCGCTCCACGACTCGAGCACGTCGTGATAATGCACGCCAACGTCGAAGAATCTATCGCACGCTTCTGTGACGTCGATAACACTCTGCGGCATCCCCTTTTCGCGCATCAATTTCAGCGTTTCCTCCTTGGCCGACGGTTTCGCTCGCCACGAAGCGTTTTCATCGCGCCTCGCTTCGTCTTGCACGCACAACGCGATGTTGTGTTGTTTGCTCGCCAAATCACCACCTCCAGTGAATACGAGGCAATACGCACCATCCGCAAACCATTGCTCTGCCGTGTTTACGTCTTCACGCACCGAAGACCCCGCCGTCGTGCATCCGAACACTATGCGAATCCCGCTGTAAATCGGCGGCGACTCGCCGCCGTCGACAGCCTCTCTTGCGCGCGAATCAATTCCATCCGCCCCGATCACCAAATCGAACGCCTCCACGGCGCCGTCGGTGAACTCGATCGTTGCCTGACTACCGCCCGATCGCACCGCTTTCACATCGCGATCAAATATCAAACACCCCGCACCGAGCGCGTCCGCCATCGCTCGCTGCAAATCCGCCCGCTGCACGGTCCCCGCCAACACCTTGCCTCCTCCGCTCACCAACTCCCGCCGTCCCTCCTCGTCCGCGCGTATCATATCATGCACTTTCACCTCAAACAAATCTCTCCCGTCGCTCGCCCTTCGAGCCTTGACGCCCAACAAATCATTCGCCAACCGCGCGTACGTCTCCTCCAACCCGAGCTCGCACAACACCCGCGCGCCGCCGTTCAGGTTAAACCCGCCACCGACGTTAGGTTTGATCTCGCTCGAGCGCTCGAACACCTTGACGTTATCGATGCCGATGCGCTTCAACGCGAGTGCGGTGGCGAGCCCGCTTATACCGGCGCCGACGATGGCGATGGATGTGTCCCGAACGCGCTCGGACGCGCGCGCGGTGGACGCGTTGACGCGTTGACGCGCTCGATGGTGCGATCCAACATGGCGAACGTACGTCGCACGTGCGTGAACGGGAACCGAGTGCGTTACCGATCGCATTGAACGAGTCACGTGAGGAAGTGTGGACGTGAGTCGTTCGTTATTTTGACAAATGTGACTTGGCGTCTCGCTTTCAGACGCTCTCTGAGTTGGCTTCTATTCGGTGATTATCGACGCTTCTTCGCGTCGTCGTCGTCCTCTTCTTCGTCGTCGTCTTCATCATCGCTTCGCACGTCCTCGGCGGAGCCAGTGATCAAGATGCGATGGACGACGTTGACGATGAGCTTGAACCAATACACCTGCAAGCCGAGAATAATGTACAGCAGGACGACGCAGGTCCAGTACCCGAAGCTTGCTCCAAAATACCTGCGCGCCTCGAAGTGCGAGCTCCATACCACGTACGGATACATCACCAGTCGCATGACAAAAAATGTGACGAGGAAAATCGCGAACAAGACGTCCGCCAGGAGCTGAAATCGCTTATTCCCGCGCGCGTCGCCAATGTACTTCGCGCACTTCGCCGCGTGCAGCGGCACGTCCGCCGGGTCCAACACGAGCATGATCACCGCCCCGACTCGAGTCCATCCGTAGACGTACGACACCCAGATCACACCGATCGTCGACACGTGATGCAATTGCATCGACCAAAAGTCTTTTCGCTTGTGCTCGAGCAGGACGTTCACCGCCCCGGCGACGTACCTCGCGCCGTACGCCAGGTAATAACATCGCAGCGCCCCGTCCGTGGCTAACGTCTTCACCGGAAATCCTCTCCACCACTCCGATGACGGCCAAAACCACGACTGTTTCGGGACGATCATCGCTCCAAAGTAACTGAACGCTCCGTACGTCACCATCTCCAGCGCGCTCTGCGCGAATTTCTCCGCGCGCGCGTTTCGCGCCTTGGTCCTCGCCTTACCGCTGAATCCCATCAACACGCGTCCGAGCGGCTCGACCACGACCACGCGCAGGAGCCAATTAAAGACAAACATGATCACGGCGTACATCACCGCCTGTCGCGCGTCCAAACCGCCGAGCGGCGCGCGCACGGTCGAACGCATCGCATTTTTTCGCACTGATTTCAAAGTTTTCGTCATCTTCACGACGCCGATTTCCACCCCGAACGCGCGCGCGTCCGCGCGTAACGCCGCGAGCGCCGCCGACCACGACGCGTCCATCGCGCTTTGGACGTCAACGTCGACGCGAACGCGCGCGGGAGTCAAGACGGTTCGAACGCGCGACGCGACGCACGGGTCGACAGAAACCCGAAAAAGATGCGCCCGCGCCCCGCGCGCGCGGCATCGCGCGCCGCGACGGGATGGACGCCCGCGCCGAGGCGCTGCGAACGATCGCGGCGGCGTTGGCGACGCCGGGGAAGGGCGTGCTCGCCGCGGACGAGTCCACGGGGACGATCGGGAAGCGCTTGGCGACCATCGGGGTGGAGAACACGCTCGAACAGAGAGTCGCGTTACGCGAGCTGCTCTTCGATGCGCCGAACTGCGCGGCGGCGTTGAGCGGTGTGATTCTTTACGATGAGACGCTGCGGTCGACTGGGAAGGGAGGGGCGACGTTCGTGGAGATGTTGCGGGCGAACGGGACGATCCCGGGGATCAAGGTGGACGCGGGCGTCGTCCCGCTCCCGGGATCGCCCGAGGAGACCGCCACGGCTGGATTGGATGGTTTGGATGAAAGATGTAAGGAATATTACGACTTGGGGGCGCGGTTCGCGAAGTGGCGAGCGGTGTTGAAGATTGACGAGGCGCGCGGGTTCCCGAGCGCGCTCGCCGTGGCGGAGAACGCGAACGCGCTCGCGAGGTACGCGACGATATGTCAGCGAAACGGGCTGGTGCCCATCGTGGAGCCGGAGATTTTGATGGACGGTGCGCACGACATCGAGACGTGTCTGCGGGTGACGCGTCGGGTGTTGGACGCCGTGTTCTCGGCGTTGCGTCTGCACGGGGCGCAGATGGATGGGATGATTTTGAAGCCCAACATGGTCACCGCGGGTTCGGCGCACCCGAGCGCGAACGGTGGAGACGATGTTGTGGCGGAGATGACGCTTCGAGCGCTTCGCGACGTCGTGCCGCCGGCGGTTCCGGGGATTTTGTTTCTCTCCGGCGGTCAGACGGAGGAGCAAGCGACGGAGCGTCTTCGCCTGATGAATCGCTCCAGCATCCCGCGCGCGCCGTGGACCTTATCATTCTCCTACGGCCGCGCGCTTCAGGCGAGCTGCCTCAAGGCGTGGGGCGGAAAGGCTGAAAACGTCCCCGCGGCGCAGGCGGCTTTCTTTGCTCGATGCAAGGCAAATTCCGAAGCCTCGATCCGCCCGTGATCGACTTCATCCCTCTCACCTCTCGATCGTTCGCGACGAGTCGACGATCTATTCAATTGAACATTCATTATTTCTCGAACCAGAGCGCGCGCGCGTTCGACTTGAATCCATAGTCTCTCCGCGCGCTCGATTGGCTCGCGTCGATCGCGGCGCCTCACAACGCGGCACCCCGCGCGCGTCGGCGTCTCGATGACGCGCTCGCGCAATAGCCCCGTTCCGACGCTCCCGATCGAAATATGGTCCACGGTGTCGCGCTACGTACCGCTTACTGACCGCGTGGCGATGCTCGCGACGTGCAAGGCGATGCGAGAGGTGCGCGCGCGCGCGGGACGTCTCGAGAGCGCGCGCGGACTGACGGGCGCTTTCATCTCCACCATCAGGGCGTTCTTCGCGAGCGCGACGCCGCGACTATCGCGTACATAGGTCAACACAGGCATTACTTCGTCGACGCTGACGGTGCGCCGTGCGTGGATGGGGAGGCGGTCGGCGCGTTTGCGCGCGCTTTGGTGCCGTACTCGAATCGATTGTTTCCGCTCGACGTAATCGACGTGGAACGTAGAGATAAGGCGCATCAACGCGCATGGTTTTGCGCCGCGATGGTGGAGGCATTTGCCGACGGTCTGGATGACGTGCGGTTCCTGACGATGACGGAGACAGAGAAGGCTTGCCAGGTGACGAGCGCCATGGCAGGATCGACGATCGATTTGAGTCATCAGGCACGAGGAAAAGCAGTCGGGATGTTTCTGCGCACGGACATTGACTTTTTGGAGGAAGATTGGATGGATGGACAGTACGATGCGAACGATTGGAGAGAGGCGCACTACGAGGCAGAAAACACGGATGAAGAGGTGCACATCGATGAGTACACACTCGGCGTGGACCGAATCGATCGCGGCGGTGAGTCACGAGTGGAGGTATCAGACGCGATTGTTCACGACGCGGAATTGTTTCGCGCCGAGATTAGAATATTCTTGATGACGCACGGCGTGCTTGGTACGAAGACACTCTCGCATCTGCTCTCTGAGCACGCACAAGGCGCCGGGATTGAATCGGCGTTTCGATTCAAGACGTTTACGATTGGTTTCATGGGTTTGCTTTCGACTAGGAAGCACACGAACGTGAGCTTCCTCCGCACGCTCATTTCGCCAAACTTCCAATGGTTTATACTGAGGATGGCACAGTTTCGAGGGAGCGACGCGAGTGAAGCGGAGACGTCAATTACCTACGTGCCCGAAGGCATGGCCTCTTTATCTCTTCAAGCCGAGATGGCCTTGTATCGAGCGTCGTCCGTTCCTGAGCTCACGACAGTGGCTGCGTTTGAGCTGACCGATAACCTAAACGCCAACCTGGGCAGTGTTTTTGATCCGCAAGAGATTTTCAACGAGAACATTATCGCGTTGAGTAAGCTGCTGAGCATCATCCTCAGAGAAACCGCTCCAGGTGAAGTATCATTCGCGCGCATAGTCTTCGGAGTCACAGATCGATGGGATCCTACGTATAAGCTGATGTTACTTGGTGCTCTGTGGGAAATATGTCCTCAGACGCAGTATCTACTCGAGGCGTTCTTTTCTCGTGAACTCAGACCCGCGCCTCCGGGTGCGTACGAGCTCAGAGAGGCTCGGCATCGAGACCTTCCAGCTTCGAGAGTTGGCGCTAAATTTCTCGCAGTCTTCAAACAACGTCATCACTTGCGTCTGAAGGCAAACACGTGCGTCGCCATATTCGAGATCGCTCGCCAGCAATGGAGCGAGTCCGAGCGCGAGCGCGTCACGGTGGCTATCCTCAGAGACTGTCAAATCGGCTTGTGCATGTCTGTGACAGAATGCGAGTTCGGTTGTTGCCGCCACGGGATCAACAGCAATATTCTCGCTCTTATGGTGTATTTAGGCGAAGCCGGTTACACGAAAAGTAAAAAGAGAAACGCCGTGAAACCACCAAAAAGTCCTCGACCGGTGAAAATCGACGAGGACGCGCGCGCGGACGAGTCGCTATTCGACATCGACTTTGAATACGACACGGACACGCTCGTACACCGCGAGAACGGATCCAATCGAACCTTCGCCGCGCATAACTGGCTCGCGCCGGAAGAGTGAATTTCAAAACGACGTGCCTATTACACAATATTTCGATTTAATGTCACGCCCTCTCGAGTCTACGCGTCCTTCTTAACTTCCTTGACAACCTTCTTCACGCCGAGCTTGTCGAGCATGTCAGTAATCTTCGCGATGTTGGCGCCTCGAATCTGTTCGTCCACCTTCTCGCCGTTCGCATCGTAAAACGCAAACGTCGGCATGGCGGTGACGTTGTGGGCCCCGCTCACCTCGGAGTTCTTGTCGACGTCCACCTTGAGAAACGTGGCGTCGTACTCCTCGGACATATCCGCGAACACGGGCGCGATTCGCTTACACGGCCCGCACCACGACGCCGTGAAGTCGATCACGACCGCGCGCTTCGCCTCCTTCGCCTCCTTCAAAGCCTCCGCGAACGCCTCCTCCGTCTCGCACTCCACCACGGCTTTCTTCTCCGCCGGTCCCGCCGGCTTCTCCTTCCCGAACACCGCGCGGCGGATCATCGACCCGATGAATTGAAACACCATCCACATCACAACCACCCGCACGTGTTTCGGCAACTGCGACGCGCGTCGTCGTCGTCGTCGTCGTCGTCGTCAGTCCACCGTCTCGCGCGAATCCCACGCGTCGATCACATCTCGCGTCGCGCGTCCACCATCGCTCGCGCGCACCCGCTCGAACGCGTCCGCGACGCCCTCGCGCGCGCGCGCCGCGAGCGCCGTCACCGCGTCCATGCTTCGCCGCGTCCGCCGCCAAGTCGCGCCAAGTCGCGGCGACGACGCGTCGACGACCCCAAAAAACAAAACCCCCACACGAACCGCACACGCGTGTACAAAAGGTCCGCGTGTGACGCGTGAGACGCCGCCGCCGCGCCGCCGCCGATCGCGTCCGCACTTCGCGCGCGTCGCGCCATGTTGCTCCTGTTCGAGACCCCGGCGGGGTACTCCCTGTTCAAGGTGAAGGATGAGAAGAAGCTCGGCGACGTCGAGGTGAGTGGCGAGGCGACGCGCGCGGTGGTGACATCGGGCGTGGAATTCGGCGGGGGTGGGAGGGATCGGCGGCGGGGAATTAATTCCGTGGCGTCGCGCGACCGCGCGCGTGGACGACGACGACGCGTGGGAGGATGGGTTCGGTGGGACGATGAAATACGCGCGCGCGATGGGTGCCGACGTGGGGGGGGGTGGGACGTCGGGAAGGGGGTGGGCGAGGCGCGGGCGGGCGCGGGTGAGAATTGGAATCGGCCGAGCGACCTAGCGCGGAGGAACGTCGAGGGCGTCGGTGCGTGAGGGGTGCGCGTGTGGATGACTGACGAGAGGCGATGTGTGCGCGCGTTGACGACGTAGAAGTTACAAGACGCCTTTAGCACCGTGGAGGGGGCGAAGAAGATGGTTTCGATGAAGGCGTTTAGTAAGTTTGAGAACACCACCGAGGCGCTCGCGGCGGCGGCCACCTTGGTCGATTCCAAGGTTGGGAAATCGCTGAAGAAGTTCCTGACCAAGCACGCCGAGGGTGAGACGCTGGCCGTGGCGGACTCGAAGCTCGGGGCGGCGATTAAGGAGAAGCTCGGTATCAACTGCGTCGCGGACAGCGGGGTGATGGAGCTCATGCGCGGCGTGCGTTACCAACTCAACGAGCTCATCGGAGGTTTGACGGACGCCGATCTCGCGCCCATGGCGCTCGGTCTCTCACACTCGCTGTCGAGGTATAAGCTCAAGTTTTCTCCCGATAAGGTTGACACGATGGTGATCCAAGCCATCGGCTTGCTCGACGAACTCGACAAGGAGTTGAACACTTACTCTATGCGCGTGCGCGAGTGGTACGGTTGGCACTTTCCCGAGCTCACGAAGATCATCGCGGACAACATGCAGTATGCCAAGGCGGCTAAGCTCATGGGAGATCGCGCCAACGCCGCCAATCTCGACTTTTCCGGCATTCTGGATGAAGACGTGGAACAGGAGGTGAAGGACGCCGCCATCATCTCCATGGGGACGGAAATCTCCGAGGAGGATTTGAGCAACATCGGACAACTCGCAGACCAAGTAATCGCCCTGAGCGAGTACCGTGCGCAGTTGTACGACTACCTCAAAGCGCGAATGAACGCCATTGCTCCGAACTTGACGGTGCTCGTTGGCGAACTCGTCGGCGCCCGTCTCATTTCTCACGCCGGTTCGTTGATGAACTTGGCGAAGCACCCGGCGTCGACGGTGCAAATTTTGGGCGCCGAAAAGGCACTTTTCCGAGCTTTAAAGACGAAGCACGAAACGCCGAAGTACGGTTTGATATATCACGCGTCTCTCATTGGCCAAGCTGCGCCCAAGTTCAAGGGTAAGATTTCTCGCGTCTTGGCGGCTAAGTGCGCCTTGTCGATTCGCGTCGACGCCTTGGGCGAATCTTCCGAGGCGACGATCGGCGTTGATGCTCGCGAAAAGGTTGAGGCGAGACTCAGACAGCTCGAAGGGAAGTCGCTTGGCGAAGCGTCTGGGGTCAAGAAGCTCTCCGGTGACATCAAGAAGCACGACAAGGATCGCAACGCGGATGCTCCGGCTCTCCTCACCGCACCCAGGTCATACAACCCGGATAAGGACGTGACCAAGAAGGAGAAGAAAGAGAAGAAGGATAAGAAGGATAAGAAGGAGAAGCGCGAGAGAGATGGTGATTCCCCGAAGTCGGCGAAGAAGAGCAAGAAAAGCGACTAGACAGATCCTTCTCGTTTGTACAGTATTAGCCTCTCTTTTTCAAAGTGTTTAATAAGAATTTGGAACTCGAAGAGAAAGCTTTGAACGAGAAACGTAAATTACACGCCACTAATCGTCGTCGTTGTCTGTGTCGGTGGAAAGCCACTGTGTGAAGATGCATTTTTCATACGCGGCGTCATCGCCGACCGCTTGCGCCTCATGTAAAGACCGCATCGCTTCGTGTCCTTTGACGTTCACGCTCCAAAAGAGGATTGCTCGGTTGCGCTTGGGAAAAATTTTCACACCGGTTTGGTTGGATTTGTTGCAGCCGCACAGCGGAATTGCTTTCGGGAAAAGTGTGCAGCCGCCACTCTCGGGATCGGAGAGGTAGCACATGAACGTCGCCGTACGTTTCAATGAGCCAGCACGATTGTCGTAGTGCGCGGTGTAACGCTCTCTCGGACCGTAACACACGACTTGCATCGGCTCCTTTTCGTAAAGTGCTTCTTTGCGTCGCTCGGCAACGATAGGTAGACGAAGCACCGACTGAATTCGCCTCTGCAAAGCGATCACGATTGGATTGTTCGATCGGTTGCCCGTGAGGAACATCGAGGACGACGTCCGGCCTTCGCTCAGCTTCCCGTCCGTCACCCTCGATCGCTGCAGTGCCGGTCTCGCCAAGTTTATCAAAGCGTCTCCCTCTTCGTCGGTCAAAAAGTCCTCGAGCACGAAGAGGAGACAGTCCTCGCTGAGACAACGAATCGAGCTGCACACGCTTGCGGGTTTCGATCGCAACCGAGCGACGCGCGTACGATGGAAACAGACCTCGATCTCGACTTCTTTCTCCGTGAACCCGCACGAGATCACGTTCTCCGCCCCCCAGGAGTTTCCTCGATTTCGAAACCTATGCTCGAGATACGTCTCAAAGTGTCTCTTCCCGTCCACGATTGTCGAAATCGTAAACGAGCAATCCATCGCGTGTTCGCCCTCGTCCTCTCGACGCAGGTACACCGAGATCCCTCGCTGGCTGAACTTCCCCACGACCGTCCAAGTCGTTCTCGTCCCACGCTCGTCTTCGTCATCGAACGTCTCGAACGCGCTCGATCGACACGTCTCTCGCCCGTCGCGTCGTCTCGGCACGCGCCACCGCGCCCGTCGCCCACCCAACGTTTTCTCCGCCGTCTGTACCATCGCGTCCGGGACGTACGTCTCGCCCACGATCGGCACATCGGTCGACGCCGCCCCGGCGTCCTCGCTCGATCGCGCCGGCGCCTCCGACGCGTCCGACACCGCGCGCTTCGAGCGGAAAAACGAATTCGTCTCGAGCCTCTCCTTCACCTCCACCACGCGTCCTCGCTCGCTCTCGAGCGACGTCCGTCGTCCCGACGCACCGTCGTGCGCGCGCGCATCGCTCGCGGACGACGACGCGCGCGACTGCGCGACGCCCATCGAGCGATCGTCGTCGACGTGTGACGCGCGCATTCTTTTTCGAGAACACGAACCGTCACGTCACCGTACCACCGCTCGACGCGCGCGCGCGCGGCGCGGGACGACGGCGATGCCGCGCGCGCGCGATTCGTGCGTCATCGCGCGCGTTCGGGCGACGGCGCGCGGGCGCGTCGAGCGAGCGCTCGCCCGGGATGGTTTTCAATCGACGCACCGCGAAGACATCGTCACAAAACGCCACCGCGAACATGGCGACCGACGAGGCGGAGGAGGCGCGGAAGATCGAGCGCGCGATGACGTCTCTGGCGTTGACGTCCGATGATGATCTCGAGCGCACGCTCGATCGGGCGCTGCCGGCGATCGTCACGTCGCTGAAGACAAAGTTTCCAAACAATCTCAATCTGTTAATGTCCATGTTGAAGCACGTCAACGCGCGGTTACGAGGATGTCCGAACGCGAAGTTGCCGTGGAAGACGTTGATCGAGACGTTCGCGGGCGCAGAACACGCGTTCGTGCGAAATTTCGCGTTGGTGTACGTGGAGAAGGCGTTGGAGCGGGAAGACGGGCGGACGCGGGAGATCGCGTGCGCGCGGTTGATGAAAGGGTTAGGAACGCGATCGAGCGATCAGATGGACGTGCTGTGTCGATTGGCTTTCGATTCTCTCGGTGAGCTTCGAGTTTCGGACGCTGAGAGGGATTGCGAGTGGTTGCGGGACGCCGCGACGCGCGGCGCATTTCTTCAGCGAGCGAGAGATTTCTTGGCGTACTCGCCGAACGCGGCGGGAACGAGCGCGGCGACGACGCCGAATCGGCTCGAGACGCATGTGGAGGCATTGGCAAACGCGGCGATCGGGGTGGACGACGCGCGGGCGGGGGAGCTCAGAGCCGCAGCGGTGGCTTCGTCGGCCGCGAGGGCGGAGGACGCCGCAGCGCCAGTTCTGAGCGCACCGCCGAGCATGAGTCCGAGCGCGGTGGAGCGGTTGCTGGGTAAAGGTAAACCAAAACCCGCGCCCGCGGTGTTAGCGAAGAAGAAACTGCGCGTGCTCGATTACATCGCGAGCGCGTCGGTAATGGAAAAATCAGAGAGTGCAGACGTCTCGATGGAATCAGACGAAGAGAGCAAAGCGGAACTGCAAACTCCGCGTGAGCGTTTCTTGGTGAGCGGACGCGAGATGCTTTCGATTTGTCTGATCGCGTCGTGCGATAGCGATCACGAGGTGGCTAAGCGGGGCGAAGAACTACTGAAGAGGCGATGCTCCTGGGAGACAAATCGTCCAGTCATCAACTTGGACGACGCGGACGTCGCGGACGAGTTATTTCAACTCTTCAATGGATCACCCATGGGCATCCCCGAGGCGTCGCGTATTTTACCGGCCTCGCCGTCGGTGCGGTTGAAAATCATGACTCTTCTCACGCGCTCGATGGCGGCGGCGGACTCGTTTCCGCAGAATATCGAGACGGTTAAGATGTGCCTATACGGAGTCGGGACCAACACGAGATTAAAGGCGTGCGGCATGCAGTTCACGGTTTGGATCTTGACGCACGCGACGAGTAAAGAGTTACTAGCTTTCGGACCGTCGCTCATGGCTGGGATGCTGGAAATTTTGGACGCTCAAGTCGAAGGTGCCAATGAAGATCAGAGCTCCACGTTGGCTCGCGAATCCTTACGCGGATTCTGCTATCAAGCGCTTTCGCAGCTTGCCGAACGCGACAAGGCTAGTGTCAATCGAGACGTATTGCTCGCCGAACGCATCTTCGAAGCGCTGGAGAAAGAACCGGAGGGTGTGAAGTCTTACGTACAGGACGCCGCACGAACGCTTGTAGCGGCGTATCGAGAATCGCCGTCAACGTACGTGCAGACTCGCACGGAGGAACTCATTTTGAGCGCTATCGAAGACAAGGACAATAAGTATCGCCGCCTGGTCGGTGCGCAGTGGGCGCATGAATTTTTTCCGTTTTCACACGTTCCTTCGAGGTACGCGAGCGTCATCGCTTCGGGCGACTCGAAGATGGAGATGCAGGCACTCGGGAAGAAGGGACTTCGCGAGCCGAGCGCGTCGCGTCAAGTGGAGGACAACGCGCCTTTACACGTCGAAAGTTGGGAGGGCTGCGACCGAGCAGTGGACGCAAAATATTGGACGAGCGAAGACGAGATGTTCCACGATTTGTCTGGCGATCACTACCGGTACATGGAATATCTTGCGTTTTGTCAGACGCGACGTAAAATTCCGCGAGTGCTGGAACGACATCCCCCCACGTCGTCGATACTGCGCTACATGGCTTCGAAACTTCCAGTGTTAGCAAACGAATCGGCTTTACATTCGGCGCTCATTTTACCAGAAAATGCCATGTGTGAGGCCTTGGAATTCTTGAACTCGTGCTTGAAGAGTGACGCGACACGAGGATGGACGCTTCTACCGGACGACGTCAGGCTATATCTCAGTTACTTGAACCGCTGCTTAGTCAAGGCTGCCGGCCCTTCACTCGTGAGCGCCGCGTTGCTCAGCTTCATCGACTTGGTGGAACGCATGCCCACATTACTCGATGAAAAGTCCACGGCGGATGCTATTTTGACTCGTTTGCGACACTTTGTTTCGCACACAGATTCGCTCACTCGGCGTCGTGCTGCGAAGCTGTGTGGCGTGCTTGTTCGATACCTCAGCGCTGATATGCGAATCACTCTTTTAGATGAGTTTCTGGTACTGGCGAAGACGGACGAACGCGGTGCGAGGCTCGAGCAGCAAGAAGGCGCGATCATTGCAAGCGGCTTCATCATTGGTTCTGGTTTGCTTCCAGAAGATGTCGTCATTCGAACAAGCCAGACTTTCGTGGCACTGGCACAAAAGGTTGGCAAAGGACAAAGCGTTGAAGCAACGTTGGCTAGCGTTGCGGCGGAGGCAATCGGTCACGCCGCAATTCGCAATCCTTTACCGTCCAGTGTGAAAAGAGACTCGATTGACGCGGTGTGTGGCGTCATGCAAAATACTGATCCCAACGTCGCTAAACTCGCAGCTCGCGCCGCCGGTCACATCATGATGCGGGACTTTAGCGAGGAAACGTCATCAAAATTGCTTCCGAAGATTTTCGCGCTCGCCGACATGAAAAATGATGACGCGCAGTTTGTGATTGGTGAGGCGCTTGCGTGTGCGTGGGGAGGCGTTACACTGGACGCCGACCGCGTCCTCACGACGTCTTTCACTTCACTGAGTGCTGAGATGAAACTTGCGACGATGGATGATTCGGATTTATCGAAGGAAACGATCGATCACGTCGAGGTACGGTCACGCGTCGCTAACTACGTCAAGAGTAACGATGAGAGACAACATATTCACCGTGACGTGCTCAATTCCATCTTTAACGAGCACATTTATAGTAGTCGCGTCGAGCGGCGATGTGCAGCGTGCGTTTGGTTACTTTCGTTAGTGACGCACACGAACAACCATCCGAGAGTTCTGTCCATGATTGACGATATCCAGGAGGCGTTTGGTTCTTTGCTGGGTGACCAAAACGATCTCACTCAAGAGCTTGCGAGCCGCGGCATGAGCATGCTTTACGACATGTCCGACGAGATGCAACGAGAATCGCTGCTGGCATCTCTCATGGGCACACTGAATGGCAAAGCACCGAAAAAGCGTCACGTTAAGCTCGATGATAACGCTGAAGTCTTCGACGAGGGTGCGATTACTCTAGACGACAAGGCGCTCAGAAGCGGTGACGGAGACAAGAGTTCGTTGACGACGTATCAAGAGTTGTGCAGCGTCGTGACAGATATCGGCCAACCGGATTTGATCTACAAGTTCATGGATCTCGCGAATCACCAACGAGCGCTAAATTCTTCACGAGGCGCCGCTTTTGGCTTTGCATCCATCGCCAGACGAGCCGGCAACGCAGTATCACCGTACGTAGACAAACTCGTGCCGAAATTATTCAGGCTCATGCACGACCCGAATCCGAAAATGCAAGAGGCTGTGAAAGGGATTTGGGTATCCCTCGTTGATTCTACTAAAACGGCGGTGGATGAACACTTTGAATCAATTATGGAAGAGATTTTGCGCGAGTCTGGAAGCCGACTGTGGCGCAACAGGCAATCGAGCGCGGGTGCCCTGAGTGATGTGTTATCAGGAAGAACTTTCAAAGAAATCGAACCTCATCTCGAGAGTGTTTGGAACGTGTGCTTGCGTTTGATCGATGATATCAAAGAGACGGTTCGCATAGCCGGTGAAGGCTTGTGTCGATCGGTTCGTTCGTTGACCATACGCCTCTGCGATGCGCACCATAGTGGCCCGAACGAAGTGAAGGGAACGATTCAAATCGTCCTACCAATCTTGCTAAAACGCGGTTTGCTATCGACGGTGAAAGAAGTTCAAGCCTTGAGCATGGATGTCATCATGAAGCTCGTGAAATTCGCCGACGGCGGTGCGATCAAATCTCACATACCAGAAATTGTGAAGACGCTTCTCGATTCTCTCTCCTCCATGGAAGATTCAAGATTGAACTACATCGAACAGCACGCAGCTTCGTTCGGTCAAGGGGCAAGCGAGAGGCTGGAGCACATTCGTTTGCGCGCGGCGAAATCAAGTCCGATGGGCGAGACTCTGGATCTATTGATGACACACATAGACGAGGAGATCATGTCTGAGCTCGTCTTGACTTTGATCTCTGTGTTACGCTCAAGTATTGGTTTAAATACCCGAGCGGGCGCGGGCCGATTTCTTCAGCGCTTGTGCATGCGACGAGGTAGGCTTATTCGACCGCATGCAACAACGCTCTTTCGCACGTTACTGTCTTCAGCGGTCAGCGACACGTCTGCATCTGTTCGCAATAGTTTCATCACAGCCATTGCAGCGATTGCGAAATATGCGGAAGAACCACAAGTGAATGCTCTCGCGGAAGAAATTGCGCGACTGTTCAAGAGTGAAACAGAGACGGAACGAGCCGTCGCGGCGAATCTTGCTCTAGAGCTATCGCGAAGTGCTCCGGACGCACTCGCTCCGCAGAAAACATTGATACTGCCGCTCTCGTTCGTTGGCCAGTTCGACACAGAGGAGGCTGGAAAGTCAAAGTGGACCGAGGTCTGGAACGAGAATTCTGGAGGTGTGTCAGCGAGTCTTCGCGTGTACCTCGATGAGATTCTTGTAATTACGTTGGATTACTTGACGAGCAACCAGTGGCAGCGCAAACGTCAAGCCGCTGACGTGTTTGTTGCGATTGCCGAGAAGTCACCAGACGTGATCGCCATCAAAGTGAGTGAGGTTATGAAAAGTCTCATCGCCGAGCTCCCTGGTCGATTGTGGGATGGTAAAACGTGTATGTTACAAGCTGTCGCGGCTTTGACGACGGCATGTCCGCAGCAAATAGAAGCCGCTGCGGTAATCGAGGCCCTTGTCACCGAGAGCAAAAGGCCAAAGTCGGATTATCGCAAGGCTGCGCTGAAAGCGCTCGACGCATCTTTGGTCTCAATCACCTCGATCGGTGATGGATTAGATGAAGCGGATGTTGTGTCGAAAATAATGCCAGTTGTTGAAGCAGCACTGATGGCAACACCGGCGCCGCTGGACGACATTGACAACGGAGTTGGCGCGGCCGGATCATTGGACAAGATGAAAGAGGCGCAGTACGAGGGGCAACAACGCGCGAAAGCGACGGCCGCTACGGCGACAGCCGCTACGGCGGTCTTGGCGACGATACTCAATCGCGTGTCGCCTGAAGCCATCCGTCATCACGCGTCCAAGTGTCTCGAGCTTTGCCGTATGTCTCTCGATGCGGAGTTAGCGAAAGAACGCCGGCATGAAGCCCTCAAGGGTATCGTTGGATTGATGCGACTGGCCGAAAAGGATGCAACGGATCAATCGCTGCCGTTCGAAGTTGATTCAACGTTCAGTTTGGTCGTCGCGGCGTCAGAGGACGTGTCGTCAACCGCTCTTCGCCTGGACGCTGTGGAAGCATTGGTCGCGCTCGCGCGTCACGCTCCATTGAAGTCGAATGTGGAGAACGTTCTCAAGAAGATGCTCACGACGGATAAAGCTCCAGAGGTCGTTCGATCCGCTATGCGAGGCAAAGCCGAGATATCGGGGGATTCGGTCCCGATGACGGCATAGAAATGTTGGTTTTACCTAAGAAGTGTATCATAACAATCTGCTGCAGTCTGCGCCAAACCCACGCGGGTTCATTGATTCGGCAACACGAACGTCACGAGCGAGACGAATCCGATGAGTAAGATGAGCGCATTCCATGTCGCTCCCTGCACCCCCCAAGTCACGACGTTCCCCAAAATGCTCGCGACCTCTCTCTTTTCGTCCTCCGTCAAGTTCGTGTCGTCCACCACGCTCGAGGTCACCTTACCCTCCCTGTTCGCCCAGAACTGCTCCTCCTCCGCTCTTTGCTCGACGTACGACGCCAGATCGTCTAAAGTCTTCTCAAGTTTCGACACGTCGTCGTAATCCGTAGGCACTTTCCCCTCGAGTGCGTCTTGATACAGGCTCAGCGCCTTGAGATCGTTTCTGTTCCCGGCGACGACGCGTCGAATCGTCGGCATCGTCGTCTTCATCGCCTTGAGGTCATCCGTGAGTACGGTGGCCTTGCGAGCGAGGTCATCGCTCGCGTCGGCATGGACGCGGACGCGTGATCGCGAGGCGGACGCGCGCGATGCCCGGGACGGGCAGGCGAGCGGAGCCCCGCTGAGAGCCGCGCGAGACGATGCCTGCGTCGTCGCGCGCGCGGTGAAGGACGAGTACATCGTCTCGACCGTTTCTCACGCACGAACGGATTCGCGCACCCTTCGTGCGTTTTGCGGACGTCGCGGAGTGCGGGCGCGGCGGGCGTCTCACGCGACGTCGTCCGCGTCCAGCGCGGTCGATTCCAAAAACCGACCAGAGGCCCACGTCGCGTACTCGCATCGCCATGATCCATCGACGTCAACGTCAATGACGCACTCGGCGAGATTTCCCACCCCTCGACGCATCCCGCAGAGTCTCTTTTCGTCGCCGTTTCGGCCTCCGGAGAAGACGCGGCCCAATACACCGCCGTGCGTCACCGCTATCACCTTTTGGGGACCATCGCGCGCGATCTCTCGGAAGAAATCGCACAGTCGCTCGTCCACCTCTCGTCCGCACTCGCCGCCGCCCGGTATCGTTTGATTCGGATCTCTGCTCTTCCACGCCGCGTACGCGCTCGGTTCGGCATCCTTCAACTCTGCGCGCGGTAAGCCTTGTAGATTGCCGAGATGTCGCTCGCGAAGCCGTACGTCCGCTATGACGTCGACGTTGAGCGCATCCGCGATCGCGCGCGCGGTCGTTGACGCTCGAGAGAGATCACTCGTGTACACGCGACTCGCGTCTGAGTGCTCGGACGCGGCGCGCGGCGCGCCGACGCGCAGCTGTTCGAGCCCGACGTCGTCGAGTGGTGGGTCGAGCTGTCCTTGTATCAAGTGCCTTGCGTTAAATTCGCTCTGGGCGTGGCGAACGAGAACGACGCGCGTGGGCATGCGAGGCGACGTGTGAGGCAAATTGAATATGTGCTTTCAACTGTTTTTGTTTCTCCTTTGAGCTCAACTTAAGAAACGGCGCGTTCTCGTTCCAGCTTAGAACTGAATGTACAGATCTCGATCCGGGTTCATCTCCTCCACGAGTTCGACCGCCTCGGTGAGCGCGACCTCGCCGAACTTGGTGAGATAGTTGTTGTTGATGCTGAGCGTCTGCAGCGAGCCCTCGGCGTTGTTCTTGATCGCCTGCGCGAGCGCGAACGCGCCCTTGTCCTTGATTTCGTTGTAGCCAAGGTCCAAATTGGTCAGGACTTCATTCACAACGGCCAGAGACTGCGAAAGCGCGGCGACACCGTCGTCACCCAGATCGTTCCCGCGTAGGTCCAAAACGGCGAGAGACTGCGAATACTTGATTGCCTCCGCAAACGCGAAACCGCCCTCCTTGCCAATCTTGCACCACCCCATGCGCATCGTACCCAAGGCTCCGTGGAACTTGACGGTCTCCGCCAAAGCTTTGCCGCCTGGCACGCCGATCGGGTTATAACCGAGTTCAAGCGTGGTCAGCGACGAGTTGTCTCGAAGCGCGAGCGCGAGTTGCTCGGCGCCGTAACCGCCAATGTTGTTGCCACCGATGTCGAGCATCTCGATCTTCTTGTTATCCTTGAGCGCTTCGGCGATCGCGGCACAGCCATCGTTCGCGAGCTCGTTCATGTACAAGTTGAGATGTGTCAAAGAGTCATCAACCTTGAGGTAATCGCGAAGCGCCGGTCCCGCAGCCGGTCCGATCGAGTTGTTCCCGAGGTCTAGATTGTTGATCTTCTCCGAGCGCGCCGCCAAACCCTCGCACAATTTGATACAACCCTCGTTCCCGATGTCGTTCCCATTGAGCTGGAGCGAGCGTAGACCCGTGTTTTCCTTGAGCGCGGCTCCGAACGAGGAGGCGCCGAGCGCGCCGACGTAGTTCCCGTTCAAAGCCAGCAGCTCCAACGTGGTATTCTGCGCCAGAGCCTGAGCCATTGCCCCCGAACCCTCGTAATCGACCATGTTATTGTTCATCTCGAGCGAAATTATTGTTGTGTTCATCTTGAGGGCCTCCGCGATGGCCTTGGCGCCTTCGTCGCCGATGGAGCACGCGTTCAGGTTGAGCGTCGTGATTTTCTTGTCAACCTTCAGGTACTCCGCCAAGACCTTGGCGCCGTCGTCGCCGATCGGATTGCTCGCCAGCGAAAGCATCGTGAGCGTGTCGTTGCACTTGAGCGCCTCACAGAGGGCGGTGGTACCGTCGAGACCGATACCGTTTGCGCTCATGTCCACGCACGAGGCGACATTGTTGTACGCAAACGCTTCCGCGATGAAGCACGCACCCTCGTCGCCGAGGTTCTTCCCACTCACGTCAACAGTGGCCACGCGTCGCAGTTCGTCCATAACGTCGCGAAGCATGCGCCGAGCCTTGCCCGTGATTACCTTCTGCTGTTGCTTCTTTGCCTTTGGCGGTCCGTTCATCGAAACCGGTCCATCCATGCCAGCGCCTTCTGTGACTGCTATGCCACCGCTGTCGCCGCCCATCGACGGCATGGTCGACGTCGCATCTTCACCACCTTCACCGCCTCCCGCGGGGGCGACGATTCCACCGCCGCCGCCCTGTGCCTTCATTTTCGTCCACACAAAGTACCCCACAGCCGCCGCCGCCGCGACCCCGGCGCCGACGATCGTGTAATCGATCGTCGGCTCCGCTCGCCCTCGTCCCCCGCTCCGCTGCCCTTGCACCGCCTTCTTCTTCTTCTTCTTCCCCGTCGACGACGACTTCTTCTTCGTCGCCGCCGGCGTCCTCGCCGCCGCCGCCGCCGTCGCCGTCCCGGTCGCCGCCTCCGTCGTCTCCGCGCGCGTCCCCTCCGGCGCCAACGCGCGCGCGTCCCGCCGCACCTCATCCACGTCCACGCGCGCATCACCACCCTCGACCGCACCACCCGTCGCGTCACCGCCGGTCGCGTCACCCCGCGCCGCGTCGTCCGCGTCGTCGCCGCCCGAGACGATCCCATCCGCCGACCCATCCGACCGCGCGTCCACCGACCCATCGTCACCGTCCGTCCCTTCCGCCCGCGCCGCGACGCGCGCGCGCGACGCCCGTGTCGTCGCCGTCGTCCATCGTCGCGCGTCCCGCCGCGCGCGCGGGGGCGTCGCGCGCACGCGCGCGAGTTCGACGCGCGCACGCGCGAATCAATCG